TTGCGCAGATTAGCATGCCCCCTGCGCAAGGATGACACACATAAATTGAGAAATGGTCCAAGTTTTTTTTTATCCCGATGGGGATCGAACTTGGGCCTGCATTTCAACAGTTTTTGGGGGTGCTGTCCGCTTGGTGAGGCAACGGCAGTGCTTTTTCGTGGTGATGCGGAAGCGCTGCCGAAATTTTTCGGCGGCAGCAACTTTTTTTTTACGGCGGCGCCAAAGCGCTGTCGAATTGTTTTTTTTTAGGCACGGGTATGGCGGTGCATCCGGTGGGACCATGCTGTTGAAATCTTGGCTCGGCGGCAACCTGTTTTGAAGGGGAGGTGCTGCAAATTGTTTTTTGGCACGGCGGCGCAGTACCGGTTTCGACGGCGCGGCGAGCGGCAGTTCCGCTTTTAATTTTTGATGTGCATGGTCATGGTGGACTATTCTTTCATGATCCGGCGATAATATGGACACTGGTGCACATTTGGGATTGTGCGGCAGTGGTGTGTGGACCGGCACCATGAAAAAAGTGCGGAATAAGTGTGCGTGGCAGTGACTATTAGGGCTCGTGGCATGCGTTTTTCACCGCGGTCAACTTTATTTTTTTTTGCGGCGCGCAATGCAAGTGGTTTTGAGTTCTGGACCATCTGGTATTGCGGACAATGATGTGGGATCGACCGGGGCCGCTTGGGATTAATGTGGGACCAAGTGGGACCAACTTGGGGTGCGAACGCAGTTGTTTAAGCTGGTGTGGATTGTCAAGTTGGTTTGGCGGTATCCTTGGTGGTCAAGGAGCGATTGAGGCTGCATTGGAGAGGTTTTGAAGGCGAGAGGGGGATTATGGCGCAATGGAGCGGCCACAACTGGGAGAGTTGTGAGCCACGCACTTTGGACTTCGGCGACCGTTGTTTTCTTATGATCAGAACATCGAACGACTTCTTATACTCAGACCCCTTCACACCTGTGTGAACCCACACTTTGCTTGACCCTATTCTTTGAATGTTCACTGAAAAGTTAAAAAAAAAGTGTGTTTGCGTGTGTGAATGAGAGTCTGACGTAAGTTCGGGTTTGCTTTGTTTTCCTTTGAACTTGTTGTTTGGTTTGATGAGCAGGTAGGTAGAAGGGTGTCTGAAAAGGGGATTGATTATGCCTGTTGGAGATAAAGAAAAAGATTATCCCTCCTTCTACCTCCCACCTGCTTGTTCGTCAAAAGAACTGTTGTTTTGAAAAGTTCTATTCAACGTGTGTCGTAAAATGAATTCAATTGAAATAAAGCAGATAAGGTCAAACGGATTTAGATTTCTGCCTATAATTGACTTTTTTAATCCCAAACGACCTTATCTACCTATACCTGTCCAAATGATCCTCGTTGTCTACCTTCTTCATTTTCTTTTTTTTACTGAGTTATCAATAACCTATGAGTAATGAGAATAAAATAAACCTACTCATGGCGAACACAGTCTTTCTCTCTAAGAAGCATCCAAGGCGGGGGTTCGTATGCTTTTGGAGCCGGCCCTGTTATCGACTTGGAGTGGTCCCGATTCGTCGGGGTGGTGCTTTGCTGGATCGGTGGTGACGGCCCAACCTCTGAGATCCGAGTTTTCGGGTTCGGGCGAGGGGAAGGAGTATCCACACGACCACTTCCTAGAGGGATAGGTGCGTGTCGGAGACAGAAGAAGCTCCAACCCACAAGAAGAAGTAGGTAATGAAGGTGATGGTTCTCTTTCCGCAGTGATAACGACTGCGGTTTTGTTTTAAGTAACTTAATGATGAAGAATGGATACTTCATCATTCGTGGAACAGAAAGAGTAATTATTGCCCAGGAGGACAAAACGACCAACAAATTTTTTATTCGCTACATAATACTTTCCTCCAAGCAAGTTGCATATGGTACAGAGGAGAGTTCGAACTTCGGTCAGAAACCAGATCACTTGTTGATCTGCATGGAAGCGGTGGAATAATAGGTTTTTTAGTCATATAGGCCGGGAAGAATAATTTTGGCAGATCATCTCATCAAGTCAAAATCCAATCTTGTGTGATTGGATGTAAAGTGTATTGATTTTATTTATTTATTTTGTGTTCAGGGAATTATAAAGGGACTAGGATTATATTGTGGGTTTCACGTTTGGTTGAGACCGTCCTAGTCGACCGACAGTTGTTCGTACCTAGGAGATCAGCGCCCTAGGAGGCGGACAACGTTCGGGTCCACTTGGCGTTAACCAAGCGTACCTATACTCCAGCGAGCGAGCAAACGCCCTCGGCTGACCTACCTCTGCTATTGCATGTAAAAGCTTTCGCACGTGGGTCAGTAGCTTGGTAGGGATACGCCCGTGAGGGTGGTGACAGCCCCTTAGGGAAGGTAAGTTGAGCCCCACGGAAACCTATCCTGTCGTAGGGGACCGTGGGAAGTACACCTGGCGCACCCGGCTAGAGCAGCAAAGGGACGACGCAACCGCGTTCGTCTCGGCGGTTCGCGGAATGTTATGCGTCGTTCCCAAGTTGACTCTTAACTTTTGTTTTTGTTTTTACTCCTGCGCGACATGGCCGGGAGGACCCTCGTTTCGCGCGAGGGCCGATGCGCTCGACAGCGTCTAGGTTTGTGACCCCGTTTTCCGGGAAGGTGCGTGCATCTTTCCTAATACCCATACGTAGGCAGCCTTTCATTTTAGGAAAGATGCACCGCTCATTCGAACCGTATAATACCCATATGTAGGCAGCCTTCCCTTTTAGGAAAGGTAACAGAGGGAAAAGGCAATCCGCAGGAAACCAAAACAGGTTTTTTAAGTTGCCTTTTTTTTAAAAAATTGAGACGCTCTTTAATTCGTCAGTAGTTTGTCAGAGTAGGATAAGGACATTGGATCTGATGAAGTTTTGTCATCGGAGCTGCCATTCTGCTGGGTTGTAGCTTTTGAAAGGATTCACGCATCATCCGATCATATACCACCACCCCTTTCACCTTCATCCTTTCTGCCCAAACCTCTGATTTCTTCACTTGTAGATCGTCTAAATCCTTCAACAATCTAGCCCTTTCTTTGCCCCACACTAGCCGGGATATCGGTTGTTCTTCCATCCTTCCTTCTACACACTCTATCTTCTTCTTCACGTTGTCCACCTGCTTTCTTCTCTCGTGTGCCAGGATCCGCGAAAATACGCTCAATAGGTTCGAGAAAATTGTAATCCCCGAGTCTCACCGTCCCTCCAGCGAGTTGTATAGTGGCTTTGCCTCCTGCCAGTCCGTCCAAAAACACCCCATCTAGTCCTTCAGTCCTGGGTCTTCCAGGTTCTGCAGATTGAACCTGAAGTATCCCTTTCCCCTCACTATTGCCCTTGTTGTCAGACTCATGGTGATGGGTTTATGGTCCGTCATCGAATAAGTATCCACTTTGACGGAGTTCACCCTTTCCCAGATCCCCTCTGACACTAGAAAGTAATCCAGCCTCCTGCTGATTACTGCCACTTCCGGAAGGGGATTCGAAAACCACGTGAGTCCCTGTCTATCTGGGTTTTTTAGTCTATATGGATCTACCAATTTCAGTTCTGACATCAACCCCAACAGTGCTTCTTTGTCTGATGATGCCTGCTGGCCCCCCTCTGGGTCGTCTAGTGTAAGGTTCCAGTCGCCCACCACTACCGTTCTCTCACAATGTGGGATAATGTACCATAGTTCTTCCACGAATATCCTTCTTTCTCTTTGGTCCGTTGGTGCATAGACCGTTGCCACTAACAATTCCTCCCCTTCCGCCTGAATCTTCACCCACGCCCATCTTCCCCAAAGATCCGCATAGAAATCAATAATTTTCTACTCCCAAATTTTTGTGCATTAATATCCCTACACCCCCCCTCGTGCCTTGCGTTGGCGACCACAACTGCGGCCCATCCCACCAGCCTCCTAACGCCTCTAATTTCTCCTCACCCAACTTCGTCTCTTGTAAGCATGCCATCTGCACTTTGTTTTCATGTAGCCACTTTTTCAATGTCTCTTTCTTGCGTCTCCCCCTGTGTCTCCTAATCCCCTCATATTCCATGATGCGATATTGAGGCTACCCATCTACTTTCCGCGCCTCTGTCTGTTGGATGGAGGGGGTTGCTTGTCCACCGGCTCGCCTTTGTGAAGTGCTTGTCCCTTCCAGCCAGCTTGTTGTCAGGTATGTGCGCATGAACGGGGACAGGAGCTTCTTTTCCTTTGGAAGCTTTGCTTCCAACTCTGCAAGAAACTCTGCTGACTGCAGCAGTGCCACTCCGACCCTGCGCAGATCCTGTCTCTTTTTGTCTGCAATCCATGTTATTGGCAGTAGTCTTAGCCCCTCCATCTCTAGAATTTCTAATTGGCCGATGACGAAGCGAGCATCCCGGATTGGAATGAAAATTTTAATTTCCTTTCCATTATCTGGATTGTCCACGACCAAGCGTACCATCAGGATCCCCGAAATCATACGAAATTGAAACTTGTCCCGGATCACTGTCTGTATCAACGTAGCGATTGCTGTTGGCATTGGAGTTCCAGGTGAAGGGATTGACAGCAGATTGGCGGCCATGTTCGGTGTGCTCCAACCTATGAAGTGTATGTCGTTTCTTGCCACTGTGCAGAAGATCGACAAAATTTTAGATTCTATATTCTCCTGTTGTCCCTTCATCAATGCCATTGGGGCTCTCCTGCGAGTCGTTTTGGAGCCCGACGTTCCGATTTCTTCTTTCCGGCCTTGGGACGACTGTGATGATCCCGAGTGCTCTTCTCTTAAGCCTGTTGACGAAACTGCGCTTCCCTCCCTACTCAATCTCCTCTGGTTTCCTGGTGTAATGTTTCCTTGTTTTCTCCCTTGTGACGTTTCTCCTCTTGTTCCTCCTGTCCCCGAGACCAACGACCTTTCTGASTGTATGTTCCTCCTTTGCATGCCGCTCGTCGCCCCTCTTCCTCCTTGTATTCCTTGTTGATCTGCCAATCTATCCTCCACATCCCTCCTTYCGTTTCCCCCCATTCCTTCRTTTTGAGCCACATATGCCCCAATCCCCGATCTCGGTGTTACAGGTGTTCCCTGTTGTTGTTGATGGGAAGATCCTCCCATCCATCCTCCCCCTGTCATCCCCTATACCCCGCCCATCATCCCTTGCGGGAGACCTTGCTCCCAAGGCATCTGAACCCTTCCCATCATTCCTTGTGCTCCCCACGGCACAAAGGTTGACACATTGCCTGTCGGTCCCATCGGCATTCCCCATTGGTCGTACGCTGTTGTTGCGAAGTGCGGTTGGAGACTCGGCGAGTATATTGGATTATTGGGGCTTGAAGCCATCTCGCTTGGCTGTTGTCTCATTGCTGCCCCTTGATCACCTCCGATCCCACTTCGGTTCAATCCTAGAGGTCCCAATGGTCCCTGGTACTCCTGTCGTCTGGTTGATGTGGCACGTTGGCTTCCTTGTGGATGTAGCTCGCTTGTTCCATTCTGTTGTTGTCCTTGGTTTCTGCGACACTTCTCGTCCGAGTGGAAAAARGCTTTGTATCTTCTGCATCTCGGAGTCTCCGACAATGCCAAGTTCACCGTGACCGTATCCCCTTCGAATGTGACCACCGATAATTTATCCTTCATATTTGCTCGTGCTTCTGGATCAAGATCGAATTTCAGATTGATCAACGATGGCTTCAGTCTGTCTGGTTCGGGCGGGTGGGCTTGGATTACGGTTCCAATTGCCTTTTGTATCTGCGCTTCCAAGTAAAGCATCCCGTCCAGCGGTACTTGGACAGCAACCACCCAAAATGTCGAATCTTCCTCTCTTCTTCGTTGTTCCCATAGCTGGGYCTTCGTAAGCCAAGGCTTGAAGTCCAKAACGTATCTGGTAGCCCCCAATGATATTTCATCATGTCCTTTCCTCACTAGCCACGTGGYCACTGCCGCCGACTTCGCGACRTACGAAATGACATTCGGACTTTCTATCTTCACTCTCCCCCTCCTGAAGCCCCCTGCCTCGAAGCTCCCATCCTGAATACACTGATCCTCGTATGCTCTCACAATATCATCCTTCAACTTCTTCGGTAGAAAGTGAGCGCCSTCCCGAAATATTAYTGTCACCGTATACTCCTTTAGCCAATCCACTTTTGTTTTATCGATTCRTTCGTTTACTTTGAAGGTTGCTACTCTCCCCTCCACCGTCATTTTCCCGGGATCTATTGTCGTCCTCATAATCCCATCTTCATAGCACATCCTTGCCAGCTCCCTTATCCTACTCTCATCCTCCTCTTGAATTTGATCTGGGACCTGCGGCGGYGAGYGCCCTCCTTCTRCCATTGGCGCCTCCATCTTYGACGTTTCCGAAGCTACTGTCCAGTCGCCCACTYGTCAGCCGTTGTTCACACTACGATCGAGCGCACCCGTAAAYTTGTATTGTTTGGTAGTCCAACGCTSTSGTCTTGTTTCTTAGTCTCCCCTCACATCGTCATCTCTCTTCGCTTTTTGTATSGAGGTCCGTTCCCGRGCGTCTACAAYTGCGTCCTCCATAGCCGAGCTATGCCCCCGTCGACGCGGGAGGTAACGAAYGCCGCTCCTGCTATGGTCCTATCGCGCCGATAGGTCCCACAACCAGTCGCGCCCGCTGTTGCCAGCGGGCCGCGCTTGGTCCGAGYGCTGCGTTAGCGCCGGCGGAAGCGCTCYGATCGGGCCCCATCTCGGGCCAGGTCCATTTTCCTCAAAAGAAACAATTTTAATAACGGAAAATTTTTGAAATGCCCCTGAAGTTTGCGTTTATTTGCGGCGTGCCCCTCTGACGGCCGACTTACCTTGTCGCGCCCCTCTGACGACCAATGATGTTTCCAGAAAAACSTTGGCGTCGTTTGGGCCTCAAACATGTTTTATATGCCCCTACCGGTACCGGTACCAAATTTTCAGTATGCCCCTACCGGCTGCCTGTTGAGAACCACCGGAGAAGTTTCCCATATGCCCTTACCGGTACCGCCCATCTTTCCAGCAAGCCCCTGTCGCCGTTGTTGACACTCGCAGTCCATAYGAGGGAAGAGGAGGGAAGAGGTAGGAAGAGGGGRGAAGAGGAGTAGGGAGGACAAGGACTATGACGATGACGGACGAGGGAGGAACGAGGGAAGAGGAGGGAAGAGGAGTAGGGAGGACATTGGATTCGTCATCATATACCACCTGTCCAACAAACGAGTAAACGGAAAGATGACACACCCACACCCACACCCACACCCACACACACACGCACACACACACACACACACACATACCAAATGACTGAAAAACGAGTGACAAACACCTTCTATTCGTCATCATATACCACCTGTCCAACCAACAAGTAAATGAAAAGATGATGTGAACACACAGACACACACACACACACACACACACACACACACACACACACACATGCACGTGCACGGGCGATGACGACAAGAAGACGGCCATGGTGATGGTTAGGTTAGGAGCCGACAATCRAGGAGGAGGAGGAGAGGGAGGGGTGACGAGGAGAAAGTTGGAGGAGGGAGAACGAGGGAAGAGGAGTAGGGAGGACAAGGACTACGACGATGGACGAGGGTAGAGGATGGAGGCTGGAGGAGAAGAGAGGAGAGCGACGAGCATGGATGGAGGAGGAGGGAGGAGGGCGATGAGCATGGGTGGAGGAGGAGGGAGCAGCGATCCGTGGTGCGGCGAACTTGAAGAATGACTGCGGCACGATTTTTCCCTGGCGGCACGTGAAATACCTACCATTTTCGAGTTCGAATTCCTGTCCCCACTGCTGCAAGGGCATCACAGAAAGATGTGTGCCCCTCGTGAGGGCATTTCAAGGACGGACCGACGAAACGCCACCAGCGGTCCAGTAAGAGCATATTGGAAAGTTACGCCCCATGCTGACAGGGGCCTGCGGAAAAGTTCAGAGGCCCGAGTGGCATAACAGGGTAAGTCGGACTTCACAGGGGCACGCCGCGAATACACGCAAACTTCAGGGGCATTTCCAAAATTTTTCCTTTTAATAAAGTGCTTGAACAAAAAAAAAAATGGAGCCCTGATTTATTGAAAGAAAACGAAAAGAAAAGAAAAGATCGCCGCCCTTCACTGCCGTGTCGCAGGACGACGGACAACCGCCACAACCCGGGGCTAGGTCCCACTTACACGAAATTAAGCGATATTGGCCGTAGATTGCAAAGATCAACGGCCAGAATCTCTAAGTGGGACCTCGCCCCCGGTGTCAAGCGGCGGGAGACCATAGTAGACAGACACATGGGATCGCGGCGCAGAGGGAGACCATAGTAGAAAAGACAGCTGGGATCGCGGCGCAGAGGCCAACGCGAACGAGCCCAATGGCCAGCAACACACTACCGACTACCGACTTCCCCCGAGCACAACGCACGCCTGACCAGAATATAAGGGCCTCGCTGCACTACTCTCGAAATGTGCAAAACGAGAGTGAATCTTCYGCCAGAATGTGGAAAGATGCACCGCCACGATTTTTGTCTTTTGTGCATGTCGAGAGTAGTGCAGCGAGGCCCATAGCTTTGATATTTTCATTTTCAGGGGTGCGTTATGTTCGGGGGGCGACGGCGGAGCTCGGTCACGGCAATCGTATAGTACCTACCCGACCTAGCCTAGTTGGAGCGCAAGCGGAAGCCTCAGCGAGAGGCAGCGAGAGAGAGGGCAGAGGATGGAGCTTGGGATAGAGGATCGAGTAAGGAGGAGGCCGCCGTGCGGCTAACAGCACGGTCGTGGTTGAGGACGAACGGAGTTCCACAGCTGTGTGTAAGTATGCTCTCCTCGCAATAAAGTCTACCAGAGCGCTTTTTTTTTTTTTTTTTTTTTTTTT